TCTGTCTTAGGAAGGAGAGCACAGGGACATCATCAACTTCTTGTTTGTTGACCGAGGCTCTTGTTGGAAAACAGCATCCCAGAACAGCAAGTCCTTGTTAGTTATTTCTAAGAGTCAGAATGAGTTGCAAAATTATAATGAGGCAGGGAAAGTTTTTTCTTGTGGCATTGGGTAGGAAGTACCTTTCTGCAGAGGTGAAGGTGGGTATGATATCTCTGGGACCAAAGTGTGTCTACAAGAGAAGAGCAGGACAGTGTTGGCAAGACAGTGTTGGTCCAACTGGATGCTTTCTATGGCCACGACTATGTAAATTAAATGATATACATAGAGAGATAAATAGGTAGTTAATATATACATATGTGTATGTATACATATGCACATAAAAATATATATGCAAATACACTTATACCTACATACTCTCCATCTCTCTTATTTTTCTTCTCACCTCTATTGGCAAGGACAGATCATACCCACTCTTTGCTCTTCCCTCACCCTATTGTTCCGTTTTGCTTAGATACCAAGCTGGGCTGGCTTCCCATCTAGACTTTGGTCTTTCCTCCTCGGCTGGATATATTTGAACAAAACTCATAGAGAATCTGGGTTGCCAGGTCTACTCCATCTTCTCGTTCAGTAAAATGAAAATAACATTTAAAAAACCCAGTCACAAATGTCTGTTTAATAATTCTTGATTGCTGCCCTGAGACTGGATTTCAATATTTGTGAATATTCGATGTCTGGAAGCGAGCACAAAATGGCTCTCTAAAACGGCCGGAAATTTGCTTCCTGTGGCGCTGCTTGTGATAGCAGGAATGTGACTTTGGGGCAGCCCCATCTCTTCTTTTGTGAGGGATTCCTTTGGTAGGCCATCTTGGTCAGGCCTACTTATATTAACTAACCACTCACTGCCCTTGGGGTAGCTCAGGACTTGGGAGAAATCATCCAGAAGCAAATACTTTATAATAGCGTATTAAATATTCTGTTGAATAATATAAAGGACTGTCCCAAGAGATGAGGAACATCAGTACAGATTTTTTTATTTTCTTTAATGAAGTGTTTAACATTTCCCCTGGCAGGCCTGGAAACGAAATTTGAGCCTAGTGGGTGGGATCTAGGATTAAGGGAGCAAGGATTTGGGAGAAAGGGTGGGCTTGACAGAAGTCAGCTCATTAACTAGACGAGGCTCATGTTTGGGATTTACTTCCAGGGGTGAAAAAACAGGACTTGCCATAAAGACATTAGTAAATTAGCTTATGAATGTCTTTGGGCATTCCCAATGTACTACTGAGGCCAATTGAAATTTCTTCTAAATCTCTGTAGAATACCCAGGAGCAATGCCTTTTACATCTTGACATAATCCCCAGGCCTTTTTTTTATAGCCACATAGGCAGCCTCCCCTCTGGTCAGCTTCATTTCCCTGAGGGAATCCACACAATTATACTAGTCCAAACTCTACATTGCAAAGGACAGTAACCTTGAAGCATACTAGATTATTAGAAAGGGGTTTCCCTATTTTCTTTGCTTTCCTCCTATTGTCCTTATTCCTTCACAGTAAAGAGCTTCTCCACATGGCAGGTTCAAACTCACTTGAATCCATGACCTCCTGGCTCCTCTACTCCAAAGGTTCCAGATAGAAAAACTCAAGGAAGCATTCTGATTGGTCCCACCTAGATCACGTGCCTGCTTCTCGTCTGAGAAGGAGGCATCGTGATTTGTCCAATTTGGATCCCATGCTCACTTCAGTGGCCAGAGGCGTGAGTTACTGGCCTGATTTCCAAATACCAGCTCTTACACATCTGAATAAGAATTTCTGTGGTGCCAGAGCACACTCTGCCCCCTGGAACATGGAGGGTTGCAAGTGCTAAGGCCTTACTGTCCTCCGGAAGCAGCCGTCATCTGATGACTGAAGGGAATTGGTGTAGAAATAAATAGTAAGGGACTCACTTCCCTATAGGGTGACAGAATTCTGAGACAGGCATTCAACACCATTTACCGGAATTCCAAAATAGGATTAGTCTCTAGTTCACTGAAGTTGTGTCTGCTTTCATTTCCCTGTCTTCCTCTCCTACCCCTTTTCTACAGTATCCCCTGAGCCTCCCTCCCAGATTTGCTCCTGTTTGAGTCCTTATCTCAGTGACTTCTGGGAAAACCTAGACTAAGATAGTCACCATGATGGGCGGCTCATCACATGACTCAGATGCACCTGGCGCACTGTGCCAGAGGACTTACTAGCTCTGAACACACACAGCTAGTATCTGTCCAGAGAAAAAGAGATTGTGGAAAACAAAACAAAACAAAACAAAACAAAACCACAAAACCAGCACACAGCGAGAACTTAGGGTAACTGTTCCTGCTGGACCAGCATTTGGGCATAAAACATGTCTGGCCTGACATGCCCAGAGAGAGCAGACAGACCTCTCCAGCAGATTGTTCTGGAGAGGAACATGTCAGAGGATCTTGGGGTCCATGCTTCAGCAAAAGTTCTACCTTATGCAACACCTCCTCCATGATTTCATTAAGCTTGGGCCTTCCTGGCCCCCTGCTGATTCTCTGCCAAGAAGCTATCATTGCAGAGGGATACACCCCCTTCCTCCCATGTTGGCCAGAGGCTGGGTTATGTGGCATATGTTTGGTAACCCAACCACTGTGCAGTGGTCTTGTGTGCATGTGCAGTAATAGAAGTGCTCTTCTTATCTCTGTGTCTCAGCTGTAGTCTCCCTGCCTCTTTCCATATGGGTGTACTGGTTTCTAAAGCCAGACATACTCCGTATCTGTCATGGGTTGCATTGTGTAGAAGCAGCACTTTTACAGCACTTGAGGGAGGGGGGCAGGTGTGTGAGACTGAGGGAGTGCAACAGACACACACAGACACACAGACGTAGACGCACACACACGCCCCTCTCAAGTTGTAATGGAAACAAAACAGGAAAGATAAAGGAGCCGCTCAAGGATGGGGTCTCCATCTCAGATAAAATCTGGACCAGGGGCGGTCAAATTATGGCCCTTGGACCAAAACTAGCAGCCACCTGTTTTTATAAATAAAGTTTTATTGGTACACAGCCACACCCGCTCATTGACATCATGTCTGCGCTTTCTTGCTACAAGGGCAGAGTTGAGTGTTTGTAACAAGACTGTGTGGCCTGTAAAGACTGAACTGTTTACAGTCCGGCACTTTACGAAAGAACGTGGTTTATTCTAATCCCTGGGAGCTCTGGAGCATCCATTACCTCATAAAGCATCCCAACCTTGAGGCAGAGGGCTGGTCTGTGTGCTGCATGTCCTAATGTCAGCTAGGCTGTGCTGGCCGACCACCCCAGGTGTTGAGGGTGAGGTGCATGAAAGACACTAAAGCCAGGGCAGTGATTCCCGAGAATAACTTCCTGGGTGTGGGGGGCAGCTAGGAGCTGTGCACAGCCAACACAGCAGCTGGGGAATGGGTGCGCATGCTCAGTAACAGGGATCTCTCAAGACAGCACCAGCACCCATTGCCATGTTTCTCTGGATCTGGCCGAGGGCTTCATGAAGCTGGCGAGAACCCGTATTTCCTGCCTGAAACTGGGCCATAATCGCCTCATCTGGACTCCACCTTGCCTCACTCTCCCCTTCACTCCGCCCATCCCACTGCTATCGGGGTGATGGGGAACCCTTCCCAAGGTCTCCTGGGCCCCGCCAGCCTGTCCAGCCCCTCCTCCTTCCACTTGACTCACACTCCCGCTCTGCAGCCACGTGAGGGGGCATCCTGTACTCCTAACTCTGCATCCCCTCCAATTTCAGGGCTTGTAGCCATGCCCTTCCCTCTGACCTGAGCACCTTCCCCAGCACCCTCCACTTCCACCCACAAGTATAAACACATCTAGATTTCTGGATCTCAGCTCTGAGACTATTGTCTCCCAGTAGACGTCTTGAACCTCTCTCCCCACGAATCCCGTTCCCTCTAAGTAGCCAATACTTGGTTCGTGTGCCTTGGCAGATTTCTTTTTCTGTTTTTGCAAATCTCACCATGCAAGCAATATGCATAGATTTCCTCTTCTTTAACAAAGATGCATTACTTTCACATTTGCTTTTTCTCCCTTAACAAAAGGACCCCCCAAAAAACTAGCCAGGTTGGCATATATAGAGTTAACTAATTTTTTTAAAAATATTTATTTAATTAATTAATTTGAGAGAGAGAGAGAAGCAGACACCCTGCTGAGCGAGGAGCCTGGCACAGGGCTCGATCCCACGACCATGAGATCACGACCTGAGCCGCAATCAAAAGTCCGCGGTTCAACGGACTGAGCCACCGAGGCACCCCTAGAGTTAATTCGTTTTTAAACTCATTTTTTCCCTAGCAGCTGCAGAATATCCCATCGTATGAATGTACATTGTGTATGTAATATGGACGTACAGTAATTTATTGAAGAATTTCCATCTTTACGGAGTTGAGTTTGTTTCTCTGCATGTGCACTTTCGTCACTTTTTGTCACTTTATAGACAACGGTGCAAAAAACATCTCTGAACAAATATCTCTGTATTCTGACACTATTTCTGTAGGCTCAGTCCCCAGAAGCAGTATCGTTTGGTCCAAGTACACATTCACTTTACATTTCCAGACCCACTGCCACCTTCCTTTCTGCAAATGTGGCAAACTGGGCACCCGCGTGAGGTTATGAGACGGGCCCATTTCCCACATATTTGCCAGTATGGTGGCCCTTCCATCCTTGTAATGTTTGCCCATCTCTTGGCAAAGGAATGGCTTCTCATTCTCACTCTCCGACTTGCATTTCCTTGACTATTACTGAAGTTTTATATATATATATATATATATATATATATATATATATATATATATATACCCTTAGCCCATCCATCCTCAGCTGCTTTCTAGGGAGGATCCTGGAGCCCATTGCTGCTCTGTCTCTTGTGTCCCCAGAGGGTGGGCAGTTTGGGACCCAGCGATGGTGGGCATGGGTACAAGGTCCGGCTCCACCTGTGACCATGTCCTCCTTTCTCTTCACTTGCAGACACGACCCAGATGAACAACGCAGTGCCCACCTCGCCTTTGCTCCAGCAGATGGGCCATCCCCATTCGTACCCCAGCCTGGGCCAGATCTCCAACCCCTACGAGCAGCAGCCACCGGGCAAAGAGCTCAACAAGTACGCCTCCTTGAAGGCAGTCGGTGAGTCCTATTCTGTTTCTCTTCTACTTTTCTGTGCTTTTTTTTCCCCTTTCCCTCCGACTGCTTTTTTTCTCATCATGTCATCTTTTTTTCTTCCTACTTCTCCTTTTCTTTCTCTTCTTCTCTCTCAAAATCTTTGTCTCTCTCTGTCTCTGCCACTTTCTCCATCCCTTTCTGTCTCTTTTCTCTCTTTCTCTCTCTCTCCCCCTCTCTGTCTGTCTTGCTCACACGTGTTCTTGGTCTCTCTACCTGGGGCCCAGATTGCTGGGAAGCAGAGGCCCTGGGCTGCTTCCTCTTTGACTGGATCAAGTCCTACAGTGCCACGTGGGGCAGGGTGGGTGAGTGAGGGACACATGTGGGGGTCGTTTCCCTGGGAGGAGGGCCTGGAGGCTCATTTGCGTCCGACCAACAGCCCAGCCCTTTCGTCATCCACTGTCTGCCCTCATGAACCCTCAGGGAATCCAGGACACTCAGTCTCCAAATGCCTTGCCCTCTAGTGGGTCACACGCCCCCCAGTCACCCCATCTCTGAGACGTCGCTGGCTGCACGCCCCCACCTCAGGCAGCTTCCACGCTTCAGGATGGGGTGCATTGCCTGGATCTTGTGCTAACTGGGCTCTTATCAAAGTGCCAGACATTGCACTGGGCCTTTTATACATCCCACCGCATCTTCTCACAGGGACCCGAAGAAGAGGGTGTAGTTATTATCCCAATTTTCAGATTAGCAGACTGAGACTCAAGGGGTCTAATTTCATTTGCCCCAGATCAAGCAGCCTATGGGTTTTAAATTGCTCCAGGAGCTCCCTTCCTGCCACTAGCCTCCCACACCCCTGCTCCTCACCCCAGCTCACACATGAGGGAATGTGACGACGACCCTGCTGGCGGCCCAGGCTCCTGAACGCATCGATCATGTAGGAGTTCTGTGGGGTGGAAGCCACAGCCCTAGCAAAGCCAAACTTCAGGCAGACGCAAGACTCCCAGACCCCATGCTTGCTTTTATTATCCGCTATTTGTCTTCATTTCTTCCCTCATCTGAGATGGGATGGGAGACACTTGCTGATCGATTCCAGTGTCAAATATCTTAATTCCATTACACACTGACACCAGAAACCAAAGCCACTGTCATGGTCTATGATGCTTGTGGGGACCATGGTCTCCCGACACCAGAGGCATAAAACAAGCACTTTGGTGCTCAGCAGAGGGCCAGGGGCATACTGGGAACTCGGCAAGCATTGGAATCACAAAGGTCTTGAGGAATTCCTATTTTTCCCCCATCTCCTAGGACTTCTAGATGGAGTCACTTAAAGACAGACGAACCAAATTTCTAATACCAAGGGCACAGCTCATGTGGACCGACACAGACTTTTCTAAATCCCAAGCCCCACAAGGACTTATGTGCCAGTTCCCACATTTCATATTGAATTTCTACGCCCAAATCAGCCCTCAAGTACATTGACCCCACGACCACAGATTCCCTCCATTCCATATTCCGTGTTTGCACAGCGTATGCATTCTAAGCATGTTCAAATAGACTCAGATATCAGTAGGAAGAGCTGAGGGCTGTTGCCTAGGAGAGAAAGAGTCAGGGCGTCTCTACCCATGTAGCTACAAAGCCTTCATACACTGTTGGGTGCCTCCCCCCTTCCTGGGCTTTGCATTTAGGTGATAAATGACATCTGCTGGTCCTATTTGATTCTTCTTTTGGCATTAAAAAAAAAAAAATCAGCCCAGACATCTTTTTCCTTTTGAACTGGTGACATTACCCTAAACAGCTTAGGCCCAGTGTCTTGTCCCACATCAAAACTCAGTAGCTATTTGGGTAAATAATGGGTGGATGGTCCCATAATGCACCTTGATTTTTAGCAAGGGTTTTTACAGGGATCCTGTACCTTGCAAATCCTGTACTGAGAATTAAATTTACAGTGTGAAAATATATCTTACCCTCCTTAAGTAACCCTTTCTTCCCCCAAAGGGAGAACTTGTGAAATGTTTGCTGAATGAATGAATGAGCTTGTCTTCATAATGGATCAAATAAGAGCTTAGTTGTAAGGAACCCCTGATCTTCTAGAAAACTCTGAAGGATCTTATTTAGAAAACCCTCCTCGATCCTGGATATGGCTGACGTGCCTCTCCTCTTCTCTGTCCTTCTGTGACTGTCGCGGGTGTTCACGAACTTTATCTGAGTCACTGATGGTCTTGTGACTCCTAGTGAATGGAGGTCCAGTGGGACTGCCTGATCCAGTGGCCTACCCAGGTGTCCAGCATCTGCCTGCACAAATGAAATGCAAATCCCATAATAAATGTTCTTTGAAGCATTCTTTATTAAGGCATAATTCACACCATGATGTGTGTGTGGATGATGAAATGCATTTCATTAGTGAAATCATTACCACCAGGGAGAGTTGTTTAAAAAATTGTTTGCCGTTGAAAGCTCAGCAGCCTCTGATAACCAGACTCGTTTTCCAAAAATTTCCAGTAAATAGAGCCTTGGACAGCCTTTAGGGTTAGCTGCCAAGTTCAAAAATACCCCCGCAAAATAAATTTCTCTTGGCAGCTTTAATATCCAGAACATGGGATAGTTTGAGCCAGTCACTGAGACCCTCTGACCTCAACTTCTTCAAGTGAAAAATGAGGAATGAAAAATGAGGAAATTTGAAAATAGAAGATGAAACAATACCACTCATTCTAGTTATTAGAGTACCTGTGGGCCATTAGATATGTCCCGTCCATTCACTGCCAACCCAGAGAGAAAAGGATGGCGACTGTTGGTTTGGTTTGGTTTATTTTATTTTAGTTGCTTATTGAAATCACACTCATTCATATTTGAAGAAAGCTCCTTTCTCTCTACGATTCAGGGATACAGCATGTGACTGAAGAATGGTCTTTGTTCCCAGGGGGTTCACTGTCCAATTGTCAGTAACAGGTTAGCACACACTAGAGAACTGTCAGACGCTAAACTTCGTCAGACTCTGTACAAAGAGATGTGTTTCATTCATTCATTCATCCATTCATTCTTTAGACATTTAATCTGGTGTCCCTTGATTGTAGGTCCCATCGAGGCATGAACCACGTCTGTCCCATTCATTAGTGCATCCCCAGAACCCACTAACTTGTGTGGGGACTTAATGAGTGTTCCCAGAACATTATTTGTAAAATCAGGGAATAATAGTGTGTGATGGGTACCACAGCAAGTCAGGAGCCTGAGATGATCAGCAAGATGGTGGAATTGAGCACAGCCTCTGAGTTTAAGACCTCACTCAGACATTTGAATTTCATTCACCCAGACACTGAATTTCATTCAGTGCCCTTGGATTGAAATTCAACTTGGAGAAACTGATTTATAAACAAAATTCCAAGCATTCTGGGATTCTCAAATAACAAGCTTGATCCCTTTAGGGGAATTTCCCTCCTTTAGGAAAAGTGACTCCGTGGAGAAACTTGAATTCATTCATTCATTCAGCAGTACTTTTCAAACACAGAGTAATTTCAGAGATTACTTAATATCCTGAGGTCTTAGTTTCTCCCTCTGTAAAATGAAGAGAATAAAAGTAGACAGATAATGTTTTGTTGGGAATATTTAATGATACAATGCACAGAACATGCTTAGCCTGACACACAGTCAACCCTCAGTAAATGCGGCCACATAGGAAAGTCTTCAGACCGGAGTTGTTTGTTGGCCATATTTTTCCTTGAATCTCCAAGGTAGACCAGTACTTTGACTAACATGCAATTGCTCAGCCATCATTTTGGGGGAGGGACAGTTTATCCCAGTTTGATGGGAAAGACAGGCAAGGAAGCCAAGTCACACTGAGGATCTGATAAAACAAACAAGTGAGCGAGCAAGCAGCAAATGACTTTTCTGAGCTGTCCTGAGGACCTGCCATCAGCCAGACCTCTTCACGGCCCCATCGTTAGCCTGAACTGTGAAGAGCCATATGGCTTCTACAGTCTATCACAAAGAGCCTCAGTTTCATCCAACTGACTCTCCTTCCTAAGTCAGAAACGAGGCTTTAAACATTTTAGACATATCTTCCACTCAGATTGAAAATAAGAAGTGTGTCTTGTGAGAGATTGAGTCGAAATATAACCTGAAAATTCAATTAAGCCCGTGCCTTGCCTGGCTTGAGCCACCCGTGTGAGGGGTAGTTATGATGTGAGAACCCATTTTGTGGTTCCTCAAAAGTCAATGTTGACAAGACAGGGGGGGTTGGGAAAATGTCCTCCAGGCTTACCTGATGGCTCAGGGAGGGGTGGTTCCCGCCTCCAGAGCTGGAAAAAGCCCCTGCAAACCCAAGATCGCCCACATGTTGGCACTTACCTCCTCTTGGCCCCAAGTTCAGTTTTTTTTTTTCCCTCTAGGCATCTAAAAGTTAAACTCCTGACCACGCCCCGCTTAGATGCTTCAGTGAGCCCTAGCTACTCAAAGAGAGAAAGACACAGGGCATCCTTGCATTATCAATCAAATGCTATGGTGCCTTCATTTTTACATTAAAATTTTAAAAAGAAAATATTTTTTTGCTCATGCTATTTGACAGACAAAGGACGATTTTGCCAGAACCATGTTACAGTTTCCAATGGCCCTGTTTAGAACCACAGCATGGCACTCCAATATAGCAGGAGCTCCCTCTTCCATCTTGCCGTGGGAATCACTTGTGAAAACCCTGAGTGATGCATGAGGGCCTCCGTCATGGATTGACTTCTGCTAGTTTAATCTTTTTCCTTAAGTTGTGGCAGGAAGAGGGTTAACATTATTGAACTCTCAAAACACTCTACCTTTGAGGGAGGTCTTGGTCCCATTCTTGCAGATGGTGAAACTAAGGCTCAGCGGTTTTCCCAGGGTCACCCATCCAGCAAATGGAAGAGCCAAGAGTCACATTCAGGATTGCCTGGTTCAGAACCCTGTGTTCTTTCCGTGAAATGATTCTATCTTCCAGAGAACAATTTCTGACATCAGGTTATAACCAGGCAAAAAATTGGCAGTACCATTCCCCCGTTTCTTGGAGGGAAGGCTTACTAAAATACTGCTTTTCTTTGCTTGAAGTTGAAAGTTTTCCCATGTTGCCGAGTCTAGTCAGTTTACCATCGATAAGTTATAACTTACATGTGATGAAATAATGCAGATCATAATTTTACAAGAGTGTGATTGTTGAAATATACATGCCCTAGGATAACTGACATCCCAGTAAGGATAAGAAGTATTTCATCACCCAGAAAGTTCCCTCGTGTTCCTTTCCTCTCAGTGCCTTAGATCCATCCCCTTTTACTGTTTAATTGTTCACCCAGCAGATTTTTCTGTAATGTCCACTCGTGGCACCAGGCATAATGTGACGTTAAGTATATATTTGGAAGCTTGTGTGCCATCTGATTAGGTGTCCTTATTTTCAGCGGATTTATGAAGGAAAACGTGTTAGTGGCTTGCCACAGCTAAGCCCTGTCTTGGGTAGTGGGGGCAGGGTTGGCCGCGGCATGGGCATGGTTCCTGCCTTCAAGTGATGAACTTGACTTGGGAGTAAGATGGCCTCTTTGGCCTCAGTGAATCAGTGACTCCATCAGGCTTGTATCCATCCGCACAGGAAGATTTGGGGCCGCATCACTATTTCCAGATGTCCATGATCCTGGCTCAGAGGGAGAAGAAATATCCAGTCGTCCCGGGCGGGTCTCACTTAATTTTAACTTTGTCACTATCCTGTCCCGTCATTTCCCCTCTGTTGTGAGTGATGAGGGTGTTGAGTTCATATCCGCAGGGGGAATGTGGCAATTTGAGCTTCCTCTGGCATGCCTGGGAGGCCAACCGGAAATGTTTAAATGAGGCCGGATCTGTGCTCTGTAATCATTCAGATCACACAGAATGTTCCCTGTGACTCCTCTCAGCTGGCAGCCTGATCTCTGTGGAAATTGTGCAGAAATGCTGAGGACTTGGGCTTTCCAGGTAGATTCCCGAAAAAGGAAAGGGGAGCTAATGGCTCTCGCTGATTGGCTAGGCCTCCAGCCAATGGGCAGAGGCTGCTGCATGGACACCTGGGTGGGTTTGCCCCGCTTTGAGTAAAAGCCAGTCTTACGGAGAAGGCCTATCAAAGACAGGGGTAGGTAGGGTGCAGTCATCACCCTTCTTACCATCTTTGACTTTAGGAAAGGGACCACCAGGGGGGATCTGCTAATAATGTGTGATTCCCCAAGGGCTCATTTCAGTGCTCTTGAAATGAAATTCAAGAAGAATTTTGAATTTTGGAGAAACTGATTTATAAACAGAATTCCAAGCATTCTGGGATTCTCAAATAACAAGCTTGATCCCTTTAGCATTTAGGGGAATTTCCCTCCATTAGGAAAAGTGACTCCATGGAGAAACTTGAATTCATTCATTCATTCAACAGTACTTTTCAAACACAGAGTATATATGAGGACAGCCCCTACCCCTTGGGGACCTGCCACCCAGCATATAAAGTTGCAGTTCGCAGAGACTGCCCCAACCTTGGGTTTGAAGCTCATAATTCTCTCCCCACCCTCTCCCCACCTCCACCAACCCTTTTCAGGAAAGGGAGTGTGCCAAAAACAGGATCAAAATGTCTCTCTTGTCAGCGGAGTGTTGTCCTTGGCCAAAGTGAGGTCAGGCAACTCAAATTTTCCTTTCTTTCTTAGAGGGTTGAAATTCAGAGCCAGATCCATGCCTAAGAAATCTCTCCCTAACATAACTGAAAGCATCTAGGACTTTTTCAGGGGACTTCTTCTGACCCTCTGTTGGGCGTTATCCCGATACCGCTGCATGGCTTTGCAGGAGGAGCTGCGCGTGCGCAGATCCACATTTGCACATTTGGTCTCTCGCCAGTCCCCCGGGGCCCCGTGGAGGCTGCAGCTGGGGCTGCCAGCAGCGGCACCTGGGGGTGAGGGCGCAGCGGACATGGGAAGCCGGCCAGCAGATCAGCATCTCTCGATTGTTATTTTTTTAGGAAGTTCTGATGGTGACTGGGCAGTGGCGACACTTAAGTCACCAAAAGGTACTGTATAGCTTTTTCTAGCTCTTTCGTCCAGGTGTTGTCAGATTTGACACTGATCGGTGGAGGCACAAAGAGTCCTGGTGTTTGTGTGTGACTTGGTGCCACACAGGTGTCCCCGTTGGGTGACCCTGCAAGTCCGTCCAAGTTCCAGCATGTAGGTGTTTGTGTGTGTGTGTGTGTGTGTGTGTGTGTGTGTGTGGCGTATCTGTGCTCGGGGCTGTTGTTGAAGAATATGCTACCCCCTCACTTCTCAGTATTCACTGCCTGAAGGAAAATGTCACTATCAGACACCATCCCAGGTAAGACATCCAGGAAATGGTTTTTCTCAGAAAGCAGCACAAACAGAACAGTAAAACTCAAGGTAAATGAATGCAGGGGAGAAAACCACAACTTCTGAGGGAGAGAGAAACCCGAGTTGGTTTATTGGCTCAGGGTCTCATGAACCATTAGCCTTGTCACTGTTTTCGACTTTCCCCAGGAGGTACAGTGAGCATTGGATGCTAAGAAGTCTGGTCAGGTTGTCTGTGAATTAACCAGCCGGGTCCTGGACCAGAAGGTAGCTAGAATCTCTGTACGCCCTACCGTGTGCCAGAGTGCTGGACCTTTATATCATGTTGTCACTAAATTCTCTGATGACCCAGCTGGGCAGGCCGTGACCTTGAACTTGGGAAATTAGAAGGTCTCACAGGGCTCTAGGCAGGACTATTTCTACATTCTCCAAAGTTGGAGGTGGGTGGGTGGCCTCGAGGTGGGGCCACCCACTGGGAGGCTCCTGCGGTCACCCAGGTGGGCAGTGACCTGAGCTGTGGTGGGTGGAAGATGGAGAGAAGGAAATGGAGCGGAAGGACAAGTAAGAAAGAGACTGTAGAAGGTCGTGAGTGAGTGCCTGTGAGCGGGGCGGAGGGAACAGTGCGCCCTCAGTGGTTCTCACATCTTGGCTGCTTAGTACCATCAGCCTCCCCTGGAGGGTTGTTAAAACCCAGATTCCTGGGTCTCGTCCCAGAGCTTCTGATTCCCGGGACCTTGGGTGGGGACCTGAGGGGTTGTGTTGCTAACAGTTTCCATGGCGATGCTGCTGGTCTGGGGACCACACTCTGAAGACCACTGCCCTAGAGAAATCTTGCTGGGAAGCTGACACCCTCTGATTAGGTCTCCAGGGCTCTTTCTGGGGGCTGAGGTTTCTGAAGAGGGGAGTCTGACCAGGTCCCAGACCCTCAGAAGCAACCTGAGCTCTGAGGGGAGCATGGGAAGGAAGGGGACTCATTGTACTCCCGCACCCAGAGAGAGAGAGCTGTAGACCCACGTGTCTGTAGAGGATCCCTTGACTACCCTGTTGTTGCCTTGAGAGAGGGAGATTTTTGGGTCTTGCATTAGATAATAACTGTTCACGTGTCAACATCCATTTTTAGAAATGCAAACAATTTGGAACATGACAGACCTACTAATTTGAGGCATAAACTTTTTTTACTCTCCCCTGTGAAAAACAAAGCCATTATGATTCCCGTGACAACATTTGGAGGCAGTCAGCACCCCTGTCCTTATATCAGCTTATTGTTGTCTGATGCATTTAGAAAATATTTTGGGACAGGGCAAAGGCAAGGGCTTGGAAGCGGTTTTTCACCTGTCCTGTTAAAAGTGTCTGTATTTATCAGGCCTTGTCTGGGGAGGAGGGGGTCCTAAGGATGGCCAGGCCCAGGCTCCTCTGGAGTCACTGATCTTTCTCTAGTGTTCCCCACCCAGCCTCCAGAGCTGGAGACTCCATGAGGCATGATAACAAGGTTGGGGCTTTCGGACCGCCCCTGCCTCCCACACCCTGCCACCTTCTCGAAAGGGAGACACATGCGGGCTGTGACAGGCTTAGCCTCAGACACACCTAGGTTGCAATCACAGTCTCCTTGTTGGGTCTTCTCGAGACCCTCAGAAAGTCAGCCAACCCCTCTGAGCCCCTGTTTTCTGATCTACAAAATGGGGACAAAGGTATCATCTACCGCCTAGGTTGTTGTGAAGATGAGGTAATGTGTACAAGACATGTCACACTGCCTAGGGTTCGGGAAGTGATAACCACATGAAACCCATTACTGGTATCATTAGGACTATTACCAGGTGAGCGAATGAAAGGCTCTGGAAAATCTCGTGCTAACAAAAAGCGTCAGACCCTAACATCATTTCCCACACACTTTGGATGTCTGATCTCTTTTCTCTTCAGGAAAACCAGTTAACAGCTTAACATCCAGGGGCACGAAGGTTGCTAGGAACCCGCTCTGGAAACATAGGGCAGGAGCGGAGGAGTAGGCGGAGGGATGGGTGCCACCTGGGCAGGTTGGTGAAGGAAGGGGTAGCTGCCAAGGAGAAATGGCAAGGTCTCTGAAGATGAGGGTTTCCTGTTTCCACCTGCATTGCGTCTGACTCCCTTGGTTGGTGAAACGAGTCTACCAGGGTGGGAAATGGCAAACATCACACCCCCGTTGGCACTGTTCATTTTTCTCTACCTGAGGTTTCCCCATGCACGCCGCCCCCTAGTGGCCCCTCCTGCTGCTCTGCCCATACCCAGCCTTGGGAGCAATAATCTTGGAGTTATCCCCAATAACTCTTGGAAACCCCTCCCAGGAAAGCACCACTATCTCGAGCCCAGTGGACTCTCCTAAGAGGTGCGAAGCCATCCATGTCTTTTGAAACCTGGTCATTTTGCAAAATGAATCTTTGAACCTGACCTGTCGCTTCATCCAGTGCTATGCTGGAGCAGTGAACTTGGGGGAAACTGTCAGTACAGGACTGATATGATCACGATGGCTTGGATCAGAAGCAGACCATGTGCTCTTGTACGAGCCGCTCACATGCCCTGAACTCCCATTTCTACCATTTCCAAAACAACAGCCGTGAAAATCCATGCTCCATGGTGTTTGGGGGAGTAACATTAGGAGAATATAAGTAATATACCTTAATGACAGTGAGGAAAATACCCTTTATCCAACACTTCTGCTCTTCTGGATGAGGGAACCTAGTTCCCTGAGATAAATGAGATTGCCCAAAGTCTTACAGGACAATTACCTCAGACCTGGAACCAGGACCCAATCTCCAAAGAATGGCTTACAGACTGCGCTCAGAGTCACTGGCCATGCTCGATACTAATGAAAATCCTGGGCCTGCGTACTGCAGACAAACTGGGACCACTGGACGTGGGGTCTCAACATTTTCTAGTTTTTCATTTTTTTAACTGAAACTTCCGGATAATTCTCTATATACTAATGTTTGGACCTACCTTTTCCAAGACCCAATCCCTAGACATGATTTGCCCTAGAACACCAATTTCACATGCCAGCATTCTTCCAAACATGAGTATTTTTGCTGTTTGCTGAAATAAAACTGTTTTCCTAGTCAAGGGTTTGAGCTGGAGCCACAGCTGGAAAGTAGGAACATTGAAGGTGACAGTCTTGGATTTGGTGTCCCTCCCTGACACTTAAAGCTGTGGCAGAGAAATGTGGCAGCCAAATTACTCAGTATCTCTGGGCCTTAATTCCTCTTGTCACACAGAGGAGATGGTTTTGCCTTGTCACCTATGTTTAAGACAGTTTGCATGAGACAACGTCAATGAAATGGGTAAGAACATCTCGTACATAGTAGGTACTTAGTAAATTCTAGTTCTTTCTTTTGTCTAAGATCATTGATGTAACTCAGTAATAAATGTTCATCCAAGAGATGCTACAGAAGGCAAAAGGCAGGAGACAGTGTATAATTTGGGTGGCCATTCTGTCGGAGTGCACACATTTTGGATAAGAACCTACCTAAAGGCAACCTTAAAACATTACTTCATGAAATTCAGCCTTTTCCAATGTTCTGATTTGGGTTATTGGTTTGCTGGTGAGCAGGAGAGTGCAGAGCAGGTGGAGGATATGGAGGGGATTTTTTTTTTTTTAATAAAAATCAAATCCCGCCAGCTCCTGAGGTTGGCCTCTTTTAAAAAACACACAGTGAGCACTGGAGTTGATGAGCTTCTTTGGGAACCCATAGGGCATGGAGGAGAGTCTCTGCTTGCAGGAAAATGCCATTGTGTAAGATTCAATAAACATTTTTCTGCTTTGAAAATATGCCCCTCTGATGCTAAGCCACCTAGATCTTTTTTTTTTTTTTTTTTAAGATCTTCATTTCAAACTTCCCTACCACCTTGCATGGTGCCCTCAGCACATAGTAGACACTCAATATGGATTTTATTAATAAGTTGTTGAGTGAAGTTGGGCATAACATTTGAAGGGAATCCTGTGGTCTTGTCTGAAGAGGCACTGGGAAATAGAAAAATTAACCAGATGAAAGTCAAGAGATCTGTGTCCTAGATCCAGTGCTGCTTCTACCCAGCTGGCGGTCCTTGAGCCCATGCCTTTAGTTGTCTCTCTTGTAGAATGGGAGGTTGGGGATCATTGATCTCTTTGGCGCTTCCATCTCTATAACTGAAGATCCCAGGCTTTGTTCTGATTGGCTTGCCTTGTCATGTGCCCACCTCTGAACAAATTGTTACAGTGAGGGCAATGGAATGAGTTGGTTGTAGTCCGTGGGGAATGGCTGAGGGTGGGAGAGTGGAGGCGTGTGTCATCCAAACCACCTGGATTAAGAGTAGGAGACAGGTGGATTCCCCAGTCGAAAATGGGGGCTCTTCCTGGAAGTAGGGTGAGTCAGTGATGGGTGTTTGTATCAGTAGTCTTTCCACAAAAATGCTGTGTAACAAGTGGCCCCAAATCTTGTGGTTTAACATTCACTTGGCAGCATTTACTGAGACCAGGGTCTGTGCTGATGCTGGAGATTCTTCTAGTCTCAGCTGAGTTGACTCATGTATCTGAGAGTTGGCTGAAGGTTGGCTGATCGGGGCTGGTTTTAGCTGGAATGACTTGGGTGACTTGGCTCTGCTCCAGGTGTCTTTCATCCTCAGAGAGGGCAGCCCATCTCGTGATAATGACACTGGTGCAAAAGAAGGACCCCAAACCAGCAAGCACTTCTTCAAACTTCCGTTA